TCAAGGAGATGGCTCGTTATTATCATCTCTAGGGAGCAGCAATGCACAAGCCAAGATATTTCACACATCTGGCTTCTGAGGACCTGTTAAGCAGGGGTTTCAAACCCACTTTGTGAAGAGGAATAAATTACAGTTTGAATTATATAAAGGCTAAGTTTACCAGTTAGGACTACATATATTCTTGATCCACAACAGACCTCCCATTGCTAACAATGAGAGATTTTCACAAAGAGCAAGATTAGAGTATGGACTTATGCAGTAACTTCAGTTACAGTCATATTCAGCATCAGTAGATGAAAAAATGTGTATGGTGCTTTTTTACCACCATTATTTCTGCCTTTTGTGTGGCTATTTGCACATGCAATTGCACAATTTACATGCACAATCAGGTAATTGTGCAAATTTGATGCACACTTGTGCACCTAATTTATTTGAAAATCTAGCTTTTAAAGTTTCATAATTATAAGACACTTGATCATGGCCTTGGATAGACTAAGAAACTACTGAAGTTAACAACCCTATGGAGATGAATAGTAACAGCTGACATCTCTTAGAGCTGTTGTTCCTTGGTATTTCACCCCTTACACTGGATAAGGGCTAGGCTAGAAAGTTACTTTATTTTGGATGGAAGTTTTCATTCTGCAGACTCCGTCAGAAAAGCATCTGAATTGGGCCAGGATGTTTAACATTACTGCCATATCACCTAATTTGTCAGACTTCCACAAAACCTAGAAGCATGATCATCTGGAAGAGACATATATTTGAAGATATGTGATGTATTATAGATGTACAGAGCTCTAACTCAGTAGGAAAGTGTTGTTTCTACTGTATCTTCTGAGTAACTCCAATGCTGATGAAGTGTAACTAATTTCCTCACTTGGGCCCCAATTCAGCAAACATAAGCATCTGCTTAACTTCCCACTGAAACGGATGGAACTTAAAGAAAAGCACATGCTTGAATGGATCGCTACAGAAGAAATGTGCTTAAAGTTAAATACAGAATCAGAGCCTATATTAATGTCCAAACAAATAAAAAAGCAGTGAAGGAAATTAGCCTAATTCATTTTTGAGGCTGAGAGAAAACTCAAGAAACACCCCTATAGTACTGTAATATGCATTTTTACATCCAGAATATTTTTGATGGTTGCTCCCTACATTCCACCTTTTTTTCAAGAGTATATTTTAGTTCAATTGCTTGATTTGTTGTTGCTAATTCAGGGAGCACAGACCACTTTCTCCTTAATTGCCTTTTAGTAAATAATACAGTTATTTCTGGGAGAGTTTATGCTCTGAAAGAGAAGAGGAAGACACATGTTTACAAGTCAACCTGGCTCTTGTCCAACTGATCAGTACATATGTTGCTAATGCATCTTTTCAGCTACTACCAAAAAACAAGTTAGTCAAAAGGGAAGCACCCATCAAATGCTAACAAAATTGACTATTACAAGAGTCAGAATGTCATTTTCATTATGGTTCAATGTTATAAAACAACATGGTAAAGCAAAGGGTAAACACACAGCAATCAGTTGCAAATCTAGCTAAGCAAAACAAAATACAAACTGGCAGATGTTGCCTTAATGACTGAAGTGCTTGCTTTGGCAGAACTATCACCAGCAGACAGAGTAGCAATTTTACTGGTGCTTGCCTGTTTCTTGTTTTATCAACCTATGGTTCGTGGACAGGGTGGCTGACATCATTCACACTGACACACAATGTTGCCATAAATGGTAGCTTTGTAGAAAACAACTCAAAGCAATACCAACCATTCTTTTTTTTTACTTCTTTTTTCTTTCCCTATGAAAATGCATTTTAGATGGTAATAACCCCCAAAGTAATAACCCCAGTTAAAATAAAGATTCAACGTGAAATAAATCAAAAATTTGCAGCGGGTGCATTTTCCCTTGTTGTTCAGACATTTTATGAGAGCTTGAATATATAAGTCTTGACTTAGATATCCCTAATGTGCAATTAGACTAATCCAGGACTCTTACTTTTTTAGATAAATTCCTAAGCCAATATCAGCTCACTGACTCACAAGACCAATACTTTATCCATAAAACAGTTTCTTCAGAAAAAGAACATGAAATCAACGCACATGCATCTGACTAGAGAATTTAGCCCTTCAGGAGGCCAGTGATGGAGAAATAGCATATTCTTCACCTTTGTATTTCCAAAGTAAATTATGTCCCTACCCTAAAAATATAGCTGCTCTTATTTTGCTCCTTGCAACAATCTGAAAGCTGTCTTGTAAAGGAAAAAACTCCAGTGCTTATAAACTGTTAAATGTACTGAACAAATCTGATGATTTTCCGCAGCGGAACTGACATTTAGTGATACGGAGCTCCATTCGCCCGTCCCACGCCAGAGCTAATGGAAGGAAATATCTGTGGGGTTTCGCCAATTGTGCTTTTAGAGATGGGAAGGGTTTACCACCCCATATAATAGGTCAAGGATCCTGAGGTCTTTTTCTTATGTAGGCTCCTATTACCCCCCACCCTATCCCGATTTTTCACACTTGCTGTCTGGTCACCCTACCCTACACAAACTTCATGTTATTATTATTATTGGGGAAGCAGAAATTACACTTATATTTAAGTTACTTATGGCCCTGATTACATACAACAATTGCACTAATTTAACTAAACTGGTTTCTAAATCTATTCAGTCAAATTGGTGAAACCCCCTTATGTGGACATTCTTAATTTGGTTTAACTGCTGCTAATATCCGTTCTGATTTACAGGTATTTGGAAGCTCGTGCTCTAGTGGTTGTTGCTCATCCTTCTGGTAGAGGCCATCTGTTAATTCAGGCAGACATTGTCATATCAGTTATACTTGGCTCACATTTTCCAGAGTTTCTTCACAACCATGAAGGTTGGAAGCAATATTTTAAAAAAACAAAAGCTGGGATTCTGATGCCACATGACTCTGGGAGCTGGAGCCCTGCCCCTAGGCATCTGCCTGGGGCTCGATCCCATTCTGCTCATGGGTGTAAGGCAGGTCTGACTCCCCTGAAGGGGATCCATGCCTGAGAAGCCTATCAAAGTCCAACAGAATATGCAGTATTATATTTTGAACATCTGTACAATCTACTGTGATTGGTATTTCATTTTGACATCTAATACAGGTGGAGCTGAGCCGAACACCATTACAGTGGTTGTTACAGTTGCATATAACAACATTTTTAAAACTTAAAAACAAGGGAAATTGCACACAAAAATTAAATTACATTAAATTAAAAGATGTTTAGGTTGCAAAGTGGCATACTTGAAAGCTAGGAAACGCCACATTTAGAGTAGCCTGTGTAAGTTTAATTCTGCCATCTGACACTTCCTAAAGTTGAAATGTTGACTTTGTAAGCTAGATAGCTTTATTGTAATATAAGTGGGAAAATCTTGTTATACAATAATTTATCTACAGTGAGCTATGGACTAGCTCCATTACAGATATGTAAGAGATTGCATATTAGGTCTCAGCCATGAGGAGCTAACAATTTACAATTCCTTAGTAGTTTGCAGCTTCCGCACACTGGAGCCATTCAGTAGCTGGCCTGGATCTAGCAAGACCTCAGAATTGTGAGTCTGTCACAAGTGTGAGAATTCCCTAATTCAGATCACTGACACAATCCCCTCCAATTCTTCCATTTGCTTCACCATCACCTACCAACTTCACTTCCTTCTTTTCTGGACTTGAATCTCAGACATCTAGCCCTTCTCATGGAGTCCCAAGCACCCCACAAACACGAGGGAAATAATGAGACCAAGCTGTATGGTTTTACAGCTTTCTCAGAGCACATCTATCACAAGACATATCTCTTTTCAGGAAGAGGGCTACCATCAACAATAAGGTCAGAAGTACCCACAGAAATTCTTTTTACTTTTAAAATACATTTCACAGTTTAGCTATGGTACTTCTCCTCAGCAAACCTTTCAGATTACAATGCTGCTTAGAGGACACTAATACTATCTTTTTTTGTGCTTCAATTGGAGCTAAAGTGGGAATAGTTCTGTTGCAACAGAAATACTGTTAAAATGAACTGTTGTGGAGGCATATGAATACCAAATTAATTAAAAAAGCAGTAAAGAGAAAAGGGGAATGAATTCCTCTAGTCACTGCTGATTTAAGTAGCTTTTACTATGCAAGCAAATTCCCTGAATTTGTTGCATATTTAACTAAGTTTTCTTTGCTGACCTTGTTCATGAACTTTAATTAAAAACATTTTAAAAACTCATTCAATTTTGGTTTTGGTTATAAGAGATAAAACTTCATCCTAGATATTAAGCCAGTTAAAGTAACTCCAACTTAATTTTTTATGTATCCCATTTAATGTACAGCAATATAAACCTCTGAATCTGAGTTTTACCGCTTTAAATAAAATCATTTTTATCCTGCAAAAAATTTCCTGTATAGCTTTTGTACTGGATGATTCACACTTAGTGGCAGCCTATAAACATAGCTTTTAATAATAAACTGGTATCTATACCAAACATTGAGAGACTACAAAATGTAATCCTGAATGGTTTAATCAACAATCTAATCTTAAAAAAAATAAAAATCTTGGCTGTAGATTCTTCTCACAGATATAGTATAATGCTTCTACTGTGAATTATGTTTCAGTAGGATGTGTCATTTTCATGTTAAATTTATGGCACAGTCTACAATTGTATAGAGATTAAGATGCTGAGATAGTTAGAAAACTAAAAAAAACCCCTCTTAATTTAAATATCTACGGAACTTTATGAAACACAATGAATTAACTAAAGTTAATTAAAAAATTGGTTAATATGTAAAAGCAGTTTAAAACTGGTAAATGCTAATGTTTCATGTCAGAGTGGTTGCCCCCAAATGGCATTTAAAGGATAAGCATCTACAGAAAAAAACAATTGGGCTTCTTTGGGTACCTCCCTTCCATTTTGCTACCTAATCACTACATTAAATGTTAAAGTAGATCAATGCAATTCAGTGAAGCTTAACAACGTTAGTGATAGAAATGGTATTGTACCTTTTATTAATGGTAGCCCAACTGGTATTAATGTTATCTGTCATCAGTTCTACTTTTCTGGTGTCATCTGTCGAATAATCACGGAGAAGCTTAAGTGCCATGTCATTCGCCACATCCACATGTATTTGCCACTGCCGCAGCTCTTTTGAAAATTGCTAGAGGGGGAACAAACAAAACAAAAGAATGAATCTCATCTTCCCTTAAAAATATACCTTGAATATTCAAAAGGTAGACAAACTTTTAAACCTTTAAAACCTTCCCGATTAAAAAAAAAGAGAGAGAGAGAATCTTCTGGTTGCTGGCAAGAACAGAAACAGCATCTGTCACATCTGCTGATTGTTAGGGCCAGAATTTTTTTTTTTCAAAGTTATGGGACACAAGAGGACCGCAGTACTACCAACAAGTGGCTGACAGGACTAACTAACAACATTTTCAGTGCAAGATAAAATGTGGCAGCCGAAATTGGTACACTAGTGAATGGAATCATAATAGTTCTTTTCTCAGAAATAAAAAGTTGAATAAATTATTGTGCGTGCTGACTATTTTTGTCTCTGTGATGGTGAATTCATTATGCTGGGGAAATAGGAAAAAGAATATAGTAAAACACATTACTGCCGGGCCTAATTCTTTTATTTTTTTTACAATGTGACGTAACACCAAAGCTGGACAAATAACACGTCTGTTGAATTTTTTCACGTTATTAAGAATTATTTGTTTATGTAATTAGTGCCATCTACTGGATCAGTACTAAACTTGCATACATCAAAATACTAGAATATTGTTAAACCTAACAGTAAGTTATTATAATGCCGATTACCTTTCCCAATTTTTCTGGAAATAGTTTTAAAAAGCATTTACAATTTTGAACATAATTCTGTGTTAATTTTAATTTTTGTCTAGATCTGCTAACTAACAATTCCTTCCTCATTAGAAAAGCAGACCAGGAGATTGGAGCATTGGTTGCAATGGGGAACCAAATTCCATATGCTTTTCCTGTTTGTCTGCTTGGCATAACCAGCATCTGTAAAACACTGTGTGCATCCATGTCTCCTCCATTATTTGTAATCAAACAGCAGTAGCAATACAAATGAGCAGGTCTTAGGGCAAGACAAAACTATAGGTTACCAAACATCTTTGACAACGTGAGTGCAAAAGTACGTTATAATTTGCCAAAAACTCTCATGGAAGGATTGTTAGAATCAGAAACTGGCTGTATAAATTAGAAACTTTCTGCAGAAAATGAAAAGTGAGGCTTGACTACTTTTTCAAATAGGAAAAAGCTCCAGGAATATAGATTTTCCTTTCCCCCAAAGTGATGTTCATGTTGAAATCTGGTTTTGATTAAACTAATAGAGTCTTCACACAAAGCTAATCATAAGTAAGCTATTTTGTCAAGATTGATGCGTGATGGAAATAAGTCTGAATGTCAAGTTAAATAAACAAACAACAAACAGAGTGTAGCAATTGCTCACTTTAAAGTTTTCAGGTTCATTCTGGATAAGCTTACAAAAGTTTTGATACTTATCTGAACCATTAAGGGAGTCCCTACTGGGGCTAGTTTCTTCCTGTTGCCTGTTAGAAGAGCTTCTCTTATTTCTTTAAGGTATACTGGCATTTGGGATGTCTCTATAATATAAGACTCAAAGGGTGTCATAAGATTATAAAATTCAGGAAAACAGGAGATCTCTCTTCATCTAACTTCTGCATTTCAGAGAAGCAGAGAAGCTACGTTGGCCGGGTGAGAGGTTACTACATCCTGCTATCCTGAAGGTGATCTATCCTTAGAAACCAGAAGGGCATCAACGTAACTACCTGCCTCCACAAAGAGGACTTGGTTTGCAGAGGTAAACAGGTAAAAGGCTGTGGCTGGTAGATAGGGGGAACAGGAGCCTAATAATCAATTTGTTTTTTAAACCTTCAAAAAGTTGTATTGCAGGATGAGTGAAGGTTCAGGCTACTTTTCAATGTTATCTGAAACAACTGAAGGTTGCCTGGGCATTTTTTCTTAATTCACTCACTCATGACTACATAGTGTCAAAAAGTCCGAATACCTCATAATTTTAAATACTGTGGGATGGACTCAGACCCAGGTCTTACCTGCCCTCCCACACATGTTACCCAGAGCATAGGACCAAACACTACTACAATTCCAGGTCCAGTGTATCCCCAAACACAGGTGGCATTCGCTGGGGCGAAGACACAGCCAAGGCAGCCAGATACATCTGGCTGCTCTGGCAAATCCCATGGGCAGCCTCAGTTAGTGGAGCTACTCCAAAGCTCAGACCACACTAAGTATGCTCTCGCCTGGGCTTATTGTTATTATTTGTGATTGTTCTTTAGATATCTTATATGTGGTTTTTTTTTCATTTTTGCTGCAGACTTTGTCCATCTATTGTACATTTGTAAGAATTTCACCATGCTCATACTTTATTCTTTTTGGAAAATATTTTTCCAGTAGAACAATGTTATAAAGCACTAGCTATCATACATACATAGTTGCTGTTTTCCAACCAAAAATATTGTAGTAGAATATTTTACATTTGCTTTATAGATACAAAAATTACCAAAACAGTCTGTCCACGTTGTGGACTAATGGCCTGTAAACCTTCACTTGGAAAATGTGTACCTTTTGCTAGTCCCCTGTGAATTTAAATGACCTTATAAACCCCTCCAAAGCAGGCTTTTTAATGGAAATGCTGACAGACCCATTACAATGCTACTTCCAAAGTGTCGATTCTCACCATTAACTTCAAGACTAATCTATTAAATTCCTGACATTACCAAAGAACAATATCATTCAGAACATAAATGAAGAGTACAGGGGATTCTGTTTGAGGAAACAATTTGCATTTTCCAGTTTACTGGAAATGAGTATTTAATCTTTTCAACAACTTTGAAGAGTGCATGCTTAAGTCATTGCTCCTACTCTATGCTTTTCACAGGGACCGAGAGCAAAGTGTTACAGTGAAAGGTTTATTGTCCAACCTAATAGAGTCCCATTATTTTCTGTCTTACATGACTTGATGTAATGAATTTGTATAATTAAACTAATGGAATACAATTTCTTTCTTCTTTTTTCCTTTTTACTTTCAGGCCCCATTTCTCTTCCATCTACTTTGGAATAAGTAGAAACAAAAAAGTATTCAAAGTGCTTTAATACCTTAATTTCATTATGACATTTGTAAAGCATTCTTCTTATTTCATCTGTATCATCTCTTGAATTTGCTGACTTTATTAAAAGGCTTAAAGAGTTAGGGATGCGCATTAATCATGCTGCTTATGCATATTTTTAATTTTATTTAATTAGAAGACACTACTTGCTATGTTATTAGTGGGAAAGTCTAGGTAATTAAGGGTCCTTAATTAAAAAAAAGGAAGGGCCTTCCTTTTTATCCATGCATTACCAGTGGAATAAAATAAACTGTTCACAGATACAGCAATATGTATGTACAGCACCATCCAATTTGGAGCATGTCACTTTCTGCATTAAATATTTATGTAACCAGGTCTGGAAAAGCAGACCCATTGCACACCCCTTCTCTTGATGTTATCAGCTATTTAGCTGGTCTAGAGAGGTATAACCATTCAGCATTGGTCCTCTATTTCAGTATTTCTGCAGCTGTGGGCATCATCCCTAAAATATTCCACTGCACTTAGAATTGCACATTGTGAACTCTGGTATAATCCATAAAGCAAGACTAAGAGTATATTTTTTTCACCTTATGTAGTTGGTCCATATCTGGAATATTAGGCGGCAGCAAAACAGTTAAGGGTGACATTATAAAGCAAGTGACAAGGTAACTGTTGCACACAGTATGTGACTAAAGGGAAGACTGTCCCTTGCCCGAGGCACTGTGCAGGGAGTAAGGGAGGATAAGGCTACTTTGTTAGTGTGTCCCTGGTAGGAGAGCAGCCTCAGTGGGACTGCTACTACATTTCCTGCACAGGTGAATTGGAAGTGGGCAGGCAAGGGAATAGCCTTGGCACTACCTGCCCTCTCACTTAAGATTAAGGTGACCATATTTCCCAAAGGTAAAACGGGACATCACACAGGGCTGGCCTGAACCCTCTCCCACAAGGGGCTCGCCCGAGCCACTTGCCCCAGAACCTCCCCGCTCCCAGGCTGGGGTCACTGGAACTCTGTCTCCCTCGCCCCACAAGAGGCTGTTGCTGAAACCCTGCAAGAGGCCGACATCATCACTCCCCTCCATCGCACATTCCTCTGCACCATACTCCACTTGATGAGGAATCCACAACAACGCTCAGTAAATTATTCCAATTGTAACCCTCACTGGTAAAACTTTGTGCCTTATTTCTAGTCTGAATATGTCTAGCTTCATCTTCCAGGCACTAGAGCTTGTTATACCTTAGTCTTCGAGACTGAAGAGCCCTTCATTATTGTAATTAACATGTAGATACTTCTGTGCTGTGATCAGATCATCCCTTAACTTTTCTTTGTTAAGATAAACAGATAGAGCTTGTTGAGTCCATCATTATAAGGCTCGTTTTCCAATCTTTTAAACATTCTTGGGGCTCTTCTCTGAACTCTTTGCAATTAATCTACATCTTTCTTAAACTGTGGACCTCTGACCTGGACACAATATTCTCGTGTGGCATAGCACCTCCTTTGTCTCGCCAGACTTAGCACTTCCCCCTCTGGTGATGGGGGACCTGGGGTAAATCAGCCCCACTCTGGGCAGTTGTTTGCCTCCCCCCTTCTGTACTCCTTTGGCTGTGTTTTCAGGGTACACCCCATGGTTGGCCTAAGGGGTGATCCTTCACCAAACAAAAAGTAAACAGTCTCAAACACAAAAGGAGACACATTTCCCTGCCTTCTCGCTGGGGCAGGGTGTCATCCTGTTGCTTGCCTAGGGTGTCAGTCCTTCTCCTAGCAGGCACTGAGGTTTGGCGGTTCCCGTACGGGAAGGAGCACAGTCTCTCAGCCTGAAAAAGCTTGTTTCCCTGCTGCCACTCGCCTGGCAGTAGCTTGTCTCTATCTCTCCCTTTGCTCTCCCCAGAGGAGGGGTTTTTAAAGGCCTCAGGCAGAACTTAATTGGATTCAGGTGTTCCTAATTGATCGGAGGTAACTCCTTCTTAGCTTCTAGGAAAAAGGGCTTTAACATTCTAGGGCTAATATATCAGCCTTCCAGGACCC